CTGTGGGTACTGATGACCTATGTTGAGATTTTATGTTCATCCTATTGGCACTGATTCTCTTAAAATTAACCTAGCAGATTGTCCATGTCTTGGAGGGACTCAAGGATGTTGCAGAAGTGAAAGTCGTTCATCAAATTGCTGAAAGCAACTAATAATGGAACTTGCAATTAAACTTAATTTATACCACCACTTCATGCTGCATTCTCTGTTTGAGATTTGAAACTAGAGACTTCTTTGTTTATCCTTATCAATGGCATTGACTACGTTAAACTTATTATGTTTAGCACTTATAATTAATATTTTATATATATAATTAATGCTTATTTGTATTAATGGCATCTTTTGGAGTAAAATGTTAAGATGGAGTACCATTCATTTCTATCCAAGCACTCCTGCGTTATTAAAATTGAAATAATTTGATAAAGAAGAAAAGACTACAAAGGTGAGTTATTATTTGGTAGGGCGGTTAGTTTTCCTCTCTGATCCGGATATCTCAGAGGCATGCGCCTTCTGAGAAGGTATTCAAATGGCCAAAGGCTTACAAACCACTCATGTTTGGATTGAGGGTGATGCTCAAAAGATAGTTCAAGCCCCGTTGGATGACTGATTTGACTCTACTGTTATTTCATTTAGGCCTCATACCTACGGGCTTCTTCAAAAAAAAAGAAAGAAAAGACCCCTTAACGTGAGAGTAATTTTATAATTAAAATTGAACTACTTGTATTTTCTATTTATAATTGATTGCTAAATATGAGAGAATCTCTCTCCAAAGAAACAAAGAATATTATGTTATGGCAATACAGAAGGTTCCCATTTGGACCGATTTGGATTCTTTGGAGTCCTTTGGTCAGAGTCTCCCTTGACACCCCCAACAATAAATAGTGAGGAAACCACATTCAAGTTGCCACAAGAAAAACCAAAATGAGCAATGGAGAATCTGGTCGTGATGTAAGCCAATTGATCATTAGTGGAAATGTAGCAAATTGGGAGAACATGTTATTGGCAATTAGTTCAAATATTAATTAAAATTAAATGAAAATTAATTTCAATATATTTGGTGAGAATATATGAAATAAGGTTAGCCAACAAGTAGGTTGCACTGATGTAGTCATATCAAAAAATAGATGGGGTTGAGAAAGAGGCCTGCAACTCTTTTGGTTGAAGTTGAATCCAAAGAAGTTCAAAAGTAGTTCTAGCAATAAGACTTTAATATTCACATGAGAAGTCAAATTAGTGCCACAAAAAATGCAATATATAATCATCCTGTGAGCATTTAGATGTCATCTAGCTAGGCAATTAGCCTAATCAGCATTGGAGTTGGTAGAGAGGTGTGGTCCATAGAGAAACGCTGAATGAAAAGACCATAATCAATAGTGTACTTGAGATACCAGAAGGTGCACTTAACTGCACACCAATGTTCATTGGTTGAGGTGTGCATAAATTAACAAACTTGTAATTATTTTAAAAGGATTGTTTTCTTTTTTTTTCTGGTATTTGGTGATATTTATCACTAATAACCCCCTTTCTCTTAAGCTGGTGGTTGTAAGAACTGAATTCGTGTCTGATGAGGGGTGATTTGGCCCTCCAATGACACCGTGACACATGAAATCGTAGAATCATCATATGACACCTCAATGCCATGTAAGTATTGACATCGGGAGTACTTCAGATACGTCACACCCATCTCAACCTCTTCAACTCCACCTCGGCAGGCCAACCTGTGGATGCCCTAGAAAGTGTTAGATTGGCATAAGAGGTGCCCTGCCTCCATCAAACTAATTGAGGCCTTTAGCGACCTGCACGACGTGGTAGGCAGCTAACTTCATGAGCAAGCTATCATCTTCGACTCTTCTGGCTCACGTCGCAACATCAACGGAACTAGCACTTGTCCCGCTTACTTCGGAGGCAATTGGATAAGCACTATCACTTTACGCGGAATTAGCCTCTAGGCATGAAACCACCTCCAAATTAAACAGGCCAGTGATCTCCGACACGCTACACTAAGCCCATAGCAAGTTGTGCTTATATAAAGGCATTCTATTACATACACATGATTTCTCCAAGCATCTCATACAAGTATTTAGAAATTTTAGGTTGAAGACAAATCTAGTTCAAGTTTAGAATGTTAGAAATTGTGACATGTTGTATGATCTTACTATCCTTTCCTCAAAGATGTTCAACTTTTCAATGACGAACACCCATGCCTTATTAGCTCACAAGAATGGGATGCTACATGAAGAATCGAGTCTAGATCGATTTAGTGGGCCAATTGGAAGTAAAGAACTAATTTTCTTCTTTTGCTAATTCTTCGTATTCAAATTCATCCAACTTTAACCCTTTGACTAAAGAGAGTGGGAGGAGGGGAAAAGAAAAGGCATTTAGACCACATCGGTGATTTATGCCGGAAATTTTGTCCGGTTGGTGGTTGCCTAAAGCTGCATTTGGAAATGGTGCAAATTAAATGGAGTGTAAATTCCAGTTTAGGGTAAATTTGTACTCTGGTACAATTTTGCCCATATTTGGCAACATTACATTTATGTATTGACAAATGACAGACCAATGCATATTTACATTAATAATAAAAAAGAAGTAAATTTGCATTCAAGTGGGCTTTTGATAAAAAAAAAAAAAATCGTATATACTTTATTGAAATTAATGTTTGCATCCATTACAGCTAAAAGCCTGTTTAGTAAGAAGGTAAATTTGTCAATGCAAAACTAACCCAACTTTACAATTTATATAAACCATTTCACATTCTACATATTTGCATTCACACTTATTTGCATCGTCTTCAAAGGCAACCCAAAGTCACATGATGCACTCATTCTCTCTTGGACTGTGAAAATAACAAAAGTTACAAAACCTCATTGACAATTTGATGGAAGAAAAAGAGGGAAGAATGAGAGGGAGAGAGAGTTTAAACCAAATTCAATTTCGATTTGGTGTCCAAACGGCGTAAATTGTAGCCCATGTTAACACGGTCTCCTTCAACTAATTAAGCCTTGATGAAGCTTATAACATGGCGTTTTAAACAAATGTTTTCTAATGGCAGTTTGATCCTCTATGACAGCAATGATAGCCAGTACCTCTCCTGCATTTCTAATCAAAGAAAAATTAGAGGAAATTAAACAAGCATCAAAATATTGATGTAATGGATACCAACACCTTGTGTATCAATACAGATCGATACTTTTAACAACTTGAGATGGATGCCTTCCATCATCCCAACCTTAAAATATCCCAAATCCCTTCTGTATGTATTTGTGTATTCATAAATCTCCATACCCTTATTTATGGATACATACACTTGAGGCATATCAATATTTTTATCAACTTTATACCTCTATTATGTATCAAAAGATTGGATTTTGCAATACTACCCTTTCTCCCCAAGAGGAAAAACATGCTTATTTAATGTTAGGAGCCTCTTAAACTATAGAATTGTTGGGTGGCTCCCCCTATCTTGGTCGTTCTATAATAGTATTTTCATTAGGGGTGTAAGTCGGGCGGCTTGGGCTGGGTTTATGGTCAATCCAAGTCCAATCCTAAAATTTGGGCTTAAGGTCTGGACCCGAATATCTAGGCACATTGAGCCTTATTAGTTTGCTATTTTCAGAGCATGTTCACCCCATATGGGTGGTGATCTTCATCTAGTCTCTCTAAGTCGTGCGGGAGCTAGGTTCATCCACGCCAAGTAGATAATGTGTCGCCGCTAGGGATGAGCATTCGGTTCGCTATTCCAATTTTAACTAAATAATGCTCACCCCTTGTTGCCGCTTAACTTGGGACCGTAGGGCGGACTACCCTAGATAAAGGTGATGCATCACGTAGGCTAGTAATTCGGTACTCCATATGTTAGTTGGCTAATCAAGTCCTTGGCTACTAAAGGAGTGAAGTCGACCTTCGAGGTCCTCGGCAAGCACTCCTGAGGTGGTGTGTGCCACCTTGTCAAGTAGCGATCTATTGTCCTCTCTAGGTCGAGATGTAAGCCGGTAGGTCGGCTTAGGTCATCTCAGATCTAACTAACATGCTCCATGTGGCGCCAAGGTGTCACCAGACAGTTCGGGCTTGCCACGTGTCTCTTCGTGGTTGGTCAACCAAATCACCCTCCACCAATAATAATAATTTGGAGAGTCTTTTCTTTTGTGTTGGATTTGTTCTTGTGGCTTGGTTTTGTCCTATAGGGTCACACCTATAGGACCAGGAGAGGGGTTCCTAACCCCTTTCCCCTCCCATTTGAATCTTAACTAGATTGATTCAGCTAATGCTTTGGGTTTAGAGTCACTATTAAATGAAAAATTGATTTCCGGAGGTCCCATCACCTACATTTCACTTGATTGATGGGTGGCGAATGCAAATCAGCCCAAGTGATTTGTTTCTCAACGCTCACAGCTCTTTTAGGTTGCGTTTGGAATCGGTGTAAATCAAGAATGATGTAAACATTTACACCAGTTAGATTTTGTTAGCATTTGGAGGGAGTATGTAATCATGATCGATGTAAAACTCTACTCCGATTCAGTTTGGATGGAATAGAATTTTACATCATAAATCAATATAAAACATCATCAAATGTAAAATCTTACATCGATTTTATTAATGTAGAATTTACATCGATTGTATCACACTTTTAAAAAAAATACAATAGTCATTAATCAAAACACCGAGGCCCATATAAGGAGAAAGTTATAAAAGAATAACACGCCCGGTGGGACTCGAACCCACAATCGCCTGATTAGAAGTCAGACGCCTTATCCATTAGGCCACGGGCGCCCGTATCACACTTTTAAAAAAATACAGTAGTCATTAATCAAGACACCGAGGCCCATATAAAGTTATAAAAGAATCACACGCCCGGTGGGACTCGAACCCACAATCGCCTGATTAGAAGTCAGACGCCTTATCCATTAGGCCACGGGCGCCGCCTCAGTGTAAATGATATTACTAATTATATTCATAAAACTTTAGTAGTCCTCGCTTCTCACACTTTTATTTTGAACCAGACTTCAGTTTCGCACTTTCGCTCGTATAGTCGTAGACGGAAGAGTAGAAACAGAAACCTCCTCTTTCTTCTTCTTCTTCCTCTCCTCCTTCTCGTCGGCGTCGTTCACGGACCGCCATTATCCTATCACAAAAGACACCTCTCACCAACGGAATCCACAAGGTTTCTTCTCCTATTTTCGGTTATTTCTCACCGTTTTCTGGGACTTTACTTACTGTCCATCATCCACACCAGTTTCGTTAGCATTTCGGCCCCCTAAAACCAGTCACAGGAGCTCTGTCTTGTTCGCCGGATGAGCAGAACCATCGACGGTAGCTATTGCCCGAACTGCTCTATCCTTATCTCGTCTTAGAGCAAGATCCATACCCGGAAGATCTCCCTCCCCAGTTCTTCTGTTGCAAGTCGACATCATCACTGTCGTTTGAGAAGATACTCCGAAACCAAGAAGCTCGTGTCCCCTGTTACAGCGGTGGTTTCCGGCCAAAACCCAACCAGGTAAACTCTGTTTTCTCTTCCCCTGTATTTAGATCTTTTTAATATTTTTCCTCGTTTTATTTCCCCTATATTTCTGCCATGAAGCGGTTGGGATCTAATGGGAGAAAGTAGACAGAGCTGGTGATGTAGCTTCGCCGAACCGGCCCTCTGTCGAATCCTCAACGTTAATCCGTCTCGCCGTAATCTTCTCTTAGCATTCTGAATCATCGTAATGGTCTGTTTCGAAATAGGATAATCGCATTGATTCGTTTTGAATGGAAAATTTCTGTTAATAATTTGAAAAATTCTGTTAGTAATATGTTTTGAAAGATGATCACCGCTTAGTTTTTAGCTGATCTTTTTCTTCTGACAATTAGCTTAGTTATGCTGGAATGGAAAATTGATGAGTTTCGGATTGAATGCGTCAATTTCTTACCTGTCATATTGGACTGAATGGTTGGCTGGGTTCTGCCTCTTGAAACTTCTGTTTATTTTGATTATTCGGCAATCGGCATCAATGATACCGGAGTCGGAGAAAGACCGTTAATGGCAAACACCCCCGGTTCGAGAAACCTATTCGATCATAAAAAAATAGTTATAATAAAAGTAAATATAAATAATGATAAAAAGGGGGAAGGATTGATGATAAAAAAAGGTGAGGGAGTGGAATTGATCTTTTTTCTGTATGAATTAGCAAAAAGGGGGAGAATTGACTACTAATAAAAAAATGAAGTGAACAAATATATATGTAAAGAATAAAAAAAACAATAACGATAATAATTAAAATAATTAGGGTTCCATAATAAAATAACATAAATAAATAAATAATAAAAAAAGAGAATAAGAAATTAAAAAGCATATATATATATATATGCAATGATGAAACAAAAATAAAAAACTAGAAAATTTTAAGAAATAGGAAAATAAAGGGGCTGTTTAGCAAGTGTTTTTGAGAAGATCTTCTGCTCTAACGATCAAAGATGCATTGAGATTTTGCATTAAGATCTAAGCAGCTTGAAGCTCATTTGGTTGAGTCGTGTTTTTCCGTGTGAAAACAAATAGAAAAAAAATGCAAAAGCTCCATTTGGAGCTTCCCAAAAATCGCCCATTTTAGGCTTCTTGTGTCTTTTTGGCGCATAAGCTTTTGATAGCTAGATCTACCGCAAACCAAATAAGAATAGACCGAATTGTGATCTGTCCAACTTGTAAATAGTCGATAGATTGTGCGAAAAGATGCGCCAAATGGGCCAAAATAAATAGAAATATAAAAAATGTTAATAATAGATAAATAAATAAAAAGAAGGGAAAGAGAAAAATAAAAGAATAAAAAAAGTAATCAAATAAAGTCAAAATAGATAAATACATAAATAAGTGAATAACAAAGGAGAAAAATTAAAGAGGTTACAATAAAGTAGATTCTTTATTGTTGGTTATCCTAAACTTGTTATTTTCTCTATCATTACTATGTTTTTGATTAATTATGTAATTGTGATCATGTTTTGTTTGAGATGTACCATGTGGGTTCCACCTATTGGACCTGGGAGAGGGGTTCCTAACCCCTTCTCTCTCCCATTCGAGTCTTACTTGGACTACTTAGCTGTGCCTCAAGCTTAGAAGTCACTATAAGTGTAATACGATTTTTTTATGAAATTCTTGGAGGTCCCATTACCTCCATTTTAATTGATTGATGGGTGGCAACTCCAAAAGTGGTGACTCCAAATCAGCCCAAGTGAGTCCTTCTCAATGCTTATAGCTTCCTTGTCTTCTACCAACCCATAAGAAAAAGATAGAAGCAAAATTTGAGGCCCATCTATTTATCCAAAAAAATGAGGCCCATAAATGTAAAATGATTTTTGATGTGATGCCTAAGAATCACTTAAATGCAAAACAATTTTTTATGCCATTCTTGGAGGTCCCATCACCTCTATTTCACCTGATTGATAGGTGGTGATTTCAAATCAGCCCAAGTGAGCCATTTCTCAATGCTCATAGATTTCTTGGCTTCTGCCGGTTCATAAGAAAAAGACTAGTGGGGACCCGTGCAATGCATGGGAAAATTTGAAAGATTTAATAATTTTTATTATTAATTAATATTAAATTAATAATCAAAAGTTATTGTTAATTAACTAAAAGTATTCAAAGTTATTGTTAATATCTAAAATTTTAATAATTGTATTTTTATTTAATGTTGATTTATAGAAAATAATTATTGTTAATTTAATATGAACAAATATTTTTTAATAAATTTAGTTTTATTAATAATCTATAGTAATTTTGATAATTGCTATTATTTTTAAATCAAATTGATTAACTTTAAATAAATAAAAATAAGCAAAATTTGAGGCCCATTTATTTACCAAAAAAAATGAGGCCCATTTAGCATTAGAGGAGAGAAAGTCGGAAAAATTAGCCTGGTGGGACTCAAACCCACAACCGCATAATTAGAAGTAGACCTGTTCATAGGCCGGGTAGCTCGACAGGCTGGCCCGACCTGACCTGTTATTAAGTTGGGCTTGGTCATAATTTTAGACTCACGGGCTTGGGCTCGAGCCTAAAGCATCGGGCCCTACTTGATACAATATGTTACATAATAAAAATATATTCTATTTAATAAAAAATATATACAATATTTTTCTTTGTTCTTCTTCTCTATTTTTCCAAGTAATAGTGATATGTTTATTATTTTTGAGTTTTGAAGTTTTTTAATACAAATAAAACACTTTTTTATTGAATAAAAAAAGAAAAAATTTTCTGTTTTCAAATTTCTGACTGGGCTTGGGCTCAGACTCAAGACTTAGGCCCGATGGTCAGGCCGGGCTTGAGCTTGGGCCTGAATGTATTCTGTTGATATATATAGAAAACCCGGCCCAAACCCAGTCCGGGCCGGGCCATGAACAGGTCTGATTAGAAGTCATACGCCTTATACATTAGGTCACAAGCGCTTTTTAAAAATTAAACGAAAAATAAAAGAAATGTCTCTGCTGGTCCATACGAAAGAGACAAAACAGAGGCAAAATTTGAGGCCCATTTAGCATTTAGATGAGAGAAAGTTTGAAAGGATCACCTGCTCAATGGGATTTTGAAGCCACAATTGTCTGATTAGAAATTAGACGTCTTTTTCCATTAGGGCCTGGGCGCCTTTGTATTTGGACGAAATTCATTAATTTATAAGACATATTATTCTCCCCTAAATCTTAGTAGAAAATTCTGTCCTCGCTTCTCACACTTGTTTATTTTGAACCAGAAGACTTCAGTTTTTGCTCGTATATAGTCGTAGACGAGAGCAACAGAAACAAAAGAGGAGGATTTGGTCTCCTGCGAGGCTGCGATTTGTAAAACAGGCATCGTCACATTTAAGGAGGTGGGTTTCTACTAATTTGTTTTATTAGTCAGTATTAAAAATGGAGGTGGTGATAGCGTCGTCTCCCGTTGATGCTGGGATTGGTTGCTGGGACTTGCATTCGGGCGCAGAACAACTGCGTTACCGATCATGCACTTCTACTCCTCACGGCTTAGCTTGCGTTGGCCAACGCTTTCTTGTCTCTTCCCAGCTTCGAGACTCCTCTTCGTCATCGGGCACCATTCTTTACTGGTCCTGGAACAAGGTCTCTCTCTCAATTCTATTTCCTCGTCTCTAGCTGTTTTATTTCTATCCTTTGTTCTTACTTTCTGGGATTCTTTAACCTTTCATTATCATCTCAAATGATATGTATTTAATCATTTTAGTTTGTTCTTTCTCTGAAGAGAGAAACAAAAAATGGAGCCAACATGAGCGATTTGAGTACCAAATTGGTCAGTCAATCCTATTTTTAGTTGCAAATTGGCTCGTTATGGTGAAATACCTTGTTGACTCGATATATGTAAATTCAAATTCTAATGGAAAAAGGGTAATTTGGCTCATTTTTGTTCTGGAAATGGGCACTAGACAAATTTTAAATGTAAATGCAAGTGAATGTATATTGCTTGTCAGCAAGGATGAAATGACCAGGTTTTATTTATCTAAATATTTTTTTATTGCCTTTCTGCTTCAGCCTCAAGTTGAAGTTAAAAGTTTTCCTGCTGAGCCAATCCACCCACTTATTTCCAATAGTGATGGGACATATATCATTGGAGGAGGTTCATCCGGGGCCATTTACTTTTGGGAGGTCAAATTTTCTCACATACTTTCTCTTTTATTGTTATGCACGCAAAATTTACGGATTTGTGAAATATATTGCGTAGAGATATACTTGGAGTTTTTCTTAATTTGTTTATTCTATTAATTATTCTATGAAGCAGGTTGCAAGTGGCAGACTACTTAAGAGGTGGCATGCTCATTACAGGGCTGCTACTTGCTTATTTTTGTCCGATGATGAATCCCTTTTGGTTTCTGGGGCAGAGGATGGGTGTATTAGAGTGTGGTCCCTTTTCATGTACTTAGTTCCTTCTTGTTTCTCGTGTTTCTATTCCCGAAGTTTATTTATTCCTGTTACTGGGTTGTACACCCTTATTTTTTCTTAATATGTTTTTCTCTTTTCAATTAACATGCAGGGTTTTTGATGATATCGGAATGGAAATGGCAAAACATCCATATGAATATAGTTTCTCTGAGCACACTCTGCGTGTGACTGATGTGGTTTCTGGTTATGGAGGATGCAATGCAATTATTGTATCTGCTTCTGAGGATCGAACGTGTAAGGTTCGTAGGTTCTTAGTTGTTGTGAGTTTTTTTGGTGCTAATTTCTATAGTCATGCAGCACAACTAAAATGGTTGCATACTTGCATGTGATATCCTCTGTACAATTAGGGATTTCAGTTCCGGAGATTTTTTCTATGATCATGCTTTTATGTAGTTTTAAGTTGAGAATTCATCTTGCAACTAGTAGATTTTGGCATAATGCCTTTTTTTTTGATATTTGATTTTAAATTTTATTAAATCTGAAAGTATAAGCATTACAAGTATCCCTTAGAGAGGCACAAGCTGCTACCTCTCTGTAAACATAACAGAAAAATTACAAGTGAGCCCAAAACAAAGACTGTCTATTCATCCCTTGCTTTGCAAAGCATGCACTAATGACTAACCCATTAGCGGATTTCCTCACCCATTGTATCCTCAAGGTCATATTCTTAGTGATCCATAAGATTTTTTTTTATCTCATCCCTGTAGCACCATATTACAGATTTTGAATCCTTTTGTAGAAAAGATGGGCCGCATGGCCCATAGACTGTTTATCCTTTTTTATCTTTTATGTTCTTTGCTGTAATGGGCCTTAATCTGGGCTTATTCTTGTCTTTTTTAATTTTTTGCTCAACTAGGGGCTTCTCTGTAAATTACCAAAGTTTAACTTAATAAAATAGAATTAAGGGTGTAAGAGAAGAGATTATGTTCGAAAATCTCTCTCTCTGAGCCCAAGTTGCTGCCACCTTCTTCTTCTTCTTCTCTCCTCTTGAACTCTGATTTCTGCTACTTTCTTTTGAACTTTTGCATCTTTCTAAACCGTCCTTTTTTCTCAAAAGGCTGCTTTTCTTCTTGGTATCAGAGCAGGCTCGTTTTTCCCCTTTTTTCACCTTTTTTTCCCATACACAGTGTGTATGGAGGATTGAATCGTATGAATAGTTAAAGACACCTATTTCAGCCCAATTGTTAGTGGTTTCTGGAGAGAAGAGGACTGGTTTTGTCGTCCCCTTGACAGATTCAAGTGTGTTGCCCGAAACCCTAATTATTTGGAGAAATCTGATTGTGGGCCCCACAGGGAGTTTGACCTGGGCGTTCAGTGACTGAAGGCTTTCTCATTCTCCTTCTCCTTCTTGAAGATCGAATCAAGTGGATTGGTGTTCTGTGAAGTCTACAAGGAGCAGCTGAATTTTCTCCATTTCTCCCAACTTCCGAGTGTGACACAGATTATTGGTAACGACTGCATAGAGGTTGGATCACAACACAGTTTTTGTTCTATCTTCATTTGGTGTTTTTCGAAATTGTTTGAAGTAATTTTTGAAGTGTTTAAGAAGATGAACTCCTTAGACTTTGAAAACAAGCATGTTGTTGAATCCGAACAGGTTCCGGGAGCCTCTGTAGACTCTCTACTGGCTGTGACCACAGTCAAGCTGGATGGAACTAATTATCTGGCTTGGTCACAATCAGTAAAGACTCATATTTGTAGTAGAGGCAAGTGGGGTTTTATTTCTGGGAGCAAAAAGGCTCCTCCGGAAGATGATTCATCATATGAAAAGTGGATGCAAGAAAATTATACTATTATTGGGTGGCTTGTGAACTCAATGCAACCACAGATTAGTCAGCACTATTTGTGGATGAATTCAGCAAAGGAAATTTGGGATAGTGTTGCTGAAACCTATTCTCAAAAATTAAATGTGGCCAGGGCTTACAAGTTGAGAAGTGATGTGAAGAATTTGAGACAGGGGGAGAAACCATTAGTTGTATACTTCTCAACACTGAAGTCTTTATAACAAGAAATAGATTTGATAGAAGCTGTAACTTGGGACACCACTAATGATGCTGAGACCTACAGAAAACTGGTTGAGAGAAACAGGGTGTTTGAGTTCTTGATAGGGCTAAATCCAGAGTATGACATTACAAAGCAAAATATTTTATCCAAGGATAGTGTCTCACTGTCTCAAGCATATGCCTTGGTAAGTAGTGAAGAAAGCAGAAGACTTGTCCAGGTCCAAGGGGCTGGTCTAAATGATCACTTTGCTATAAGGGAGTGAGACCCAAGGGGGTTGCAGGGACTCCAAGTAGATCAGGGAAGAAAGAGATTATCTATGAGTACTATAAGAGGCCAAAACACACTAAAGAATCGTGTTGGAAATTGCAGCCTGAACTCCAACCACTTCGGTTTCAGAAGAAGTCTGATAATAAAAAGGTAGGGAGTGCTAATGTTGCTGCTAGTCCAAATAGTGATAGATACCAAACTGAAGAGATGACGACTAGTGTGCAGTTAGTAGGTATGAAGGCAGAATATGAGAAGTTTGGGAGGATGATTAGTCACCTAGAGGGTGTGACCTCTTACTTCCAACCCTTTAGAAAATTCAACATCTTCTGCATTTGCTCATTCAGGTATACGGGCTTCTGCCAATCATGCAACCATTTCAAGTAATCGTAGGATCCCTTGGATTATTGATTTTGGTGCTTCTGATCATATGACCAGCCTTTCTACTTTGATGGCTCTCTTGCCCCTATCACAGGAGTTGATGACTGTTCATAGCTATTACCTTTAAGTGATAGAAGAGTTTTGTTTTTTTTTTTTTTGATCAATAGAAGAGTTCTACCCAGTGCTTTATTTCTGTCTTAGTTTATCCTGATTTGACATCAGGTTGATTGTTCCCCAATAATCAAATATTTTGTCTGTAAATATTGCATAGTTAGTTCCAATGTTCGATTCATATATTCATTTTCTTCCCTATGAGTTATAGTATCAATAAGAATTCTGGTTCTTAATGTTCTAGGGGATGGTTTAGGAGCTGTACACATTTCTTCCCTTGTATTTGACCTTGTTAATAGAAATATGAGTTCTATTGTATGCATCATTTATACTCCATATTGTTATATGATTGTTCATTTTTTTGGAATTATCTAAGTTTTAGAGTTTTTTAGTATTCCTTAGTGTGTTGCTTATAAAACACCATGGTGTAAATGTCACAGGTTTGGAGCCTATCTAGGGGGAAATTATTGAGATCGATTGATTTCCCTTCTATAATTGATGCAGTTGCACTAGACCCTGGTGAACATGTATTCTACGCTGGTGCTAGGGATGGGAAGATATATATTGCTGCTCTTAATGCTGAAAGCACTCCCAGCAACATTTATGGAAAACATATCATTGGCTCATTATCTGATAACAGGTTTGTTGGTTTTCTTTTTCATGTACAGTTACTTTGATTTGTAGCAAGCATATTCATTTAATGTTCAGCCTTCGCCGTGGTCTAATGCATAATGCTGTGGAACAGTGTGTAAATTAATATGACATGTACCCCTTGTTTTATTATTTACCTTTGGTGTGGTTGACCTGCAAGGCATGCATGCTCATCATCAAATACTAAGAAGAAAGAAGAAACTAATTACTTTTTATACTTTCTTTGAAGCTTCTGGAATCGGTGTGAGTTTCTCAATGGCTTTCCACAGTGGATTTATTAAAGGGAGTAACCATGGATGCAAACTAAGGGGGTAGGTAATTGTAGGATATGCACATCATAGAAGGTATACTGCCCAAGAATGTGCTATTCTAATTAGCAGAACCATTTTGGAACTCCAGGGGCTTCAGGGTTAGGGGAAGCTTTTAGAAGCTATAACAGTATCATATAATTAAGCTTCTCAGGTCCATTGGTGAAGATAACTCAGCTAGGTGGTTTAACTAAAGCTTCTCAGGTTCATAGGTGAAGATATCATATAATTAAGCATCTCAGGTCTAACTAAAGCTTGCATACTCTTTAGTATGGAATGATTTAACAATTGAAGGAGGCCGCCATGTGGTGATTGATTATGACTTAAGCAGAATATGGTCCTTTGTCTCTAAGATTGCTCTTAGAGAAGCTAAGACTTTAGTCCACCACTTGAACTGCTCATTAAGGTGGATACTCAGTTTGGTTAATGCCTTAGCTGATTCATTGGCCAGAAATGGATTAGGGAGACTGCAGCTAGGGATAACCATTGGTCTAGTCCTTGCTAGGTTTGCAAATTGGTTAGGCCCGGGTTGAGCATTCAGTTGAAAATATTTAAATCAGACATCCAATTTGTACCCTCAATCCTTGCTGGATGCCAGTCAGCCTGGCTCAAGACCCCAACTCAAATTCTGGATTAAAGCCAACCATTGTTCATCCCAAGGTGTACCTATTATCTTTCATTACAGCATCTTCTATGCTTTCTTTATTTTCAAACATTCTACTCTTTCTTTCAGCCCAGATTGACCAAACCACTGCCTCTGGAATTACTGCATATATTACTTTTCCTCTCCTGTTCAAACCCTTAATCTGGCAACTCCATAACAGATCCTCAAGAGCATCTTCTATGCTTTCTTTATTTTCAAACGTTCTGCTTTTTCTTTCAGCCCAGATTGACCAAACCACTGGTTGTGGAATTACCGCCTATATTACTTTTCCTCTCCTGCTCAAACCCTTCACCTGGCAACCCCATAACAGATCCTCAAGAGCTGCAGGGAAAATCTCTGCACCTGAAATGGACACAGTGCCTGTGAAGATCCTTTGCAAATTTAAAATGCGAAAATAAGTGGTTTGCCAATTCTGCCTCTTCAAGAAAGCCCAAATTCTAGCAATTTTCAGATAATTACTACTAGTGGTAATTCTGCCTCTTCAAGAAAGCCCAAATTCTAGCAATTTTCAGACAATTACTACTAGTTGTGGTATACAAAATTAAAGAGACTGACCTGGGTGCACATTGTAACCATTTGCAACCTCTATTTTAGCAATATTTATCTAATAATTTATGCCGAATATGTGCACAAAAAGGGTTTCATACCTAGACATATATCCTAAATGCAGCAACCACACTTATTTCTTGTTTGGTCAGCAGTCAGCATGGGTATGATGAAATGAGTTATGGCAGATCAGGAGAGAGTTTGAAAGTAAACTGATGACTATTTAGGTTATATTACAACATCTATTGAGTGGAAATGTGGAATGCTTAGATTCACCAAGTCATTGTGTTTTTATTGTAAAAATGCCACTTTTCTGCAATTTGATCCAACCTTTTTTTTTGTAATTTGTATGGGTTTTTCATGTGGTTGTGTGCAACAGTAAGGGTGTTACTTGCTTAGCGTTCAGCATGGATGGAATCCTATTAGTTTCTGGATCAGAGGATGGCACAATTCGAGTTTGGGATGCTAAAACCCGTAACATTGTTCGAATTTTTAGACTTGCCAAAGGTATTACCCAGGCCATCAGAATATTGTCTTATTCCACAAAGTTTCTGTTATCAGCATTATTTATATTTTTTGGTCTTCATTTTTGTGCATATTTGGAGTTGTAACTAGTTGGTGGCAGTCCTGCTAAATGCTGCTTATATATTAGTGCATATATGGGGCTTCAGAGGGTGGGTCTGAAAAATTCTAGTGGTTTCTTTAATAATTTGCAACAGAAAAATAAAATAATAGAATCTTGAATTTTCCAAGAGCACACCCATGGTGTTGTGCAAAAATTCAAAATAAATAAAACACTAAACATACCTTTTGGAGCGATTTGAAGAATGTTGTAAATTGATTCTTGGAGCTTCTTCCCTCTAGCCTTGCATGTGTTTGGCCTCCAAGAAGCAGACAAAGCTCTTAAATGGAAGAAAGAGAAAAGAAGCATAGAAAAAGATGGGGTGGTTCCTCCTAAGTTATTCTCTCTTTAGGGTTTTAGAGTCTCACTTTCTTTTTTTTTTTTTGATAACCTTAGCCCCATGCATAGGTTATATAGAGATTGACCATAATTGCAATTAAGTCCCTCCACTAAAACTCTTTTTAGTGAAGACACCCTTCCTTTTACTTTTGATTACCTTTTGCCCCTTTTTTTGCGTGGCCTCTTAGGTTCAACACTATTAGGTGGTAGAAATTAATGCCAAACTGATTCAGCATTCAAAATGGAACCCTTTCCAGGTGAGTTGAATTAAAACTCTTTTAATTCTCCCTTGTTTGTGAATAATCGACCATTACTCTCAAGGGTTTTGTTAATCATGAGTGGCACCTAGCAATATATCAAGACCACCCTAAAAATTTGAATTGATTGATTGAACCTTTCCACCCATAGTTACCATGTAGTTAGATCCTTTTACCACACAATGTCCAAAGAGAGCAAAGGGTCATGGTGAATTTGTCATAAACCATATTGAATTGATGGTGACTCATATGATGACACTTGGAACTCTTTTTTTTTTTGATAAATTTAAAACTCCTTCCATAAACCGTACTACCTTGGCCAAGGACTTCTTGAGTCACATCAATCTTAGTTGCATAGGACATTCTCCTTTTTCATGGAGAGTGATAGATTCCATTTTGTGCATTCACATGCCTCAATGTACAAGTCACCATAGCCAATGCGTGCATGCTTAAATCCCTTGATTAGGGCACAAGTGACTACAAAATTAAAATATAGAGACTCATACACAAAGCATCGATGTTGCCTCAGGTCTAAGGATCATTTACACAACTATGATGGCAAAGCAGTTATTGACAAAAGATTCCATGAACTTTTCTATTAATTAGTGTTTTCAGCATGCCGCTGACCCGATTGGTTGAACCATTCGAACTGTCACCCAATCAAGATTCTGGGTCTGGTTTTAGTAAAACCCGAAGGATGACCAAAAACCATCCGACCCGGACAGTTGGACTGTTAACCCGTTCGACCCAGTGATCGGGTCACAGGTTGCACACTAAATGTGTATGCAAACTTTGGGAGGCCATAACTTTGCACTCCGATATCTAATTGAGGTGATTTTTATTTTTTGATTTTGGGTAACTTTTTGAGACCTATGCGTCCCAAGGGGCCATAGGTGCCTTGCCCCGCTATTTTCTCCAAAAAAACCCTTTTTTTTGCCTCAAATCATAATTTTTAATAAATTTTTACAAATAAAAAATTTAAAACTGAATTAAAAAACATAAATTAAATATAAAATAATACATATATTACATGTAGAACATAATTATACACTATTTATTGATAAAATACATGTTTATGCATACTTATACACACACATATACATACATGTATATGCATGAATTTACATATTGCTGATGTGGCATGATCTGACCCGTTCAACCAGATGGTCGAACTAGTGACCCACGAGTAAGAGAGAGACAGGAGATCACAAGGATCTTTGTGAACTACTTCAAAGAAATCTTCAGAAGCTCAAGTGGGGTGACAACAGAACTACCAGAAATGGAAGGGGATAGGCTCTCAAAAGAACAATCTTTGTCTTTGGAGAGGAACTTCACTTTGGAAGAAATTAAGAATGCAATCTTCTCCATGGACAGATCAAAAGCCCCCGGACTGGATGGATTTTCAATGGCCTTTTATCAAGAATGCTGGGATTGGTTGAAAAATGATATTCTGGAAGTTTTCAATGAATTCTTTCTCAAAGGAGAGGTGCCTCGAGGGGTGAATGCCACTTTTATCACTTTAATCCCGAAGAGGAGGGAGGCCAGAACCCCTAAAGACTATAGGCCAATTAGTCTTGTTGGGAGCATATATAAAATTATTGCAAAGGTTCTCTCAGAAAGGATCAAGAAAGTGCTTCCATCAATCATCTCACCATTCCAAGGTGCCTTTGTGGAAGGTAGGCAGATTGTGGATCAAATCTTAGTAGCCAATGAGTGTGTTGCAGAAAAAAGAAAGGGTAGAGGAAAAGGGTTGGTGTGTAAGGTGGACCTAGAGAAAGCTTATGATATGGTTAATTGGGAAGTGCTACTTCAAATGTTAGATAGGTTGGGCTTTGGAACCAAGTGGAGATCTTGGATTAGAGGATGTCTAAATTCTGCCCATTATTCAATTCTTATTAACGGAGTAGTGAGGGATTTCTTTCCGGCTGAGAGAGGAATTAGGCAAGGAGACCCCTTATCCCCCTTTCTCTTCACTGTAGTGGCTGAGGTGTTAAGTAGAATGGTGGCGAAAGCTGACTCCCAAGGTTTGTTTAGGGGGTGGAGGATAGCCAGAAATCAAGAGGTCGTTACCCACCTTCAATTTGCAAATGACACAATCTTCTTTTGTGAGGGTGGTAACGAGGAAGGTGTGGTTAATCTAAAGAGGCTATTGGATAACTTTGTGGGGATAACGGGTTTAAGGATTAATTGGACCAAAACAGGCATTGTAGGGATCAATTTGGAGGAAGGGGAACTTAATAGATTTGTAGAGATTTGTTGGGGTGTGAGATTAGAAGTTGGCCAACTAGCTATTTGGGGTTATCTTTAGGTGGTAATCCTAGGTCAGAAGATTTTTGGAAGCCAGTCATCGAAAGATTTGCTAGGAAGCTAGCTCTGTGGAGGAGGAATTACATCTCTCTTGGTGGAAGGATAACACTGATCAGAGCCACGTTGGCTAACCTCCCTGTTTACTTCCTCTCAACCTTTAGAATACCCTGTAGATTGGCAAGGAGGTTAGAAAAATACATGAGAGATTTCCTTTGGGACCTAGGAGAGGAGAGGAAGGATCACCTGATTAATTGGGATCAAGTTAGAAAGCCCAAGGATAAAGGGGGTTTGGGAATAGGAAATATTTCACTTAGGAACTCAGCTCTGTTAGGGAAATGGTTGTGGAGGTTCCCTTTTGAGAGAGATAGGCTGTGGCACAAAGTCATTGCGAGTATTCATGGTTTGGATGGAAATGGTTGGGACGCAAAAGTCGCCCCTCATGTATCCTCTTGTTCTCCTTGGAAAGCAGTTTATGAAATCTACCCAACTTTCCTCAATTCCATTTGGTTTGATGTGTGCTAGGGCAATAAAGTTCGTTTCTGTGAAGATCTTTGGGTGGGAGATAGTCCACTCAAAGATCTCTTCCCTGACTTATACACTTTGTCAAACTTCAAAGGGAAAACAATAAGTCTTTTGAGTAATCTTGGTCCAAGTGGGGTTAATTGGAATCTGGGTTTTAGAAGGGGGCCTTGGGGAAAATGAATGTGCTTCTTTAATTCACTTGCTGGATCTTCTAGGACAAATTCTTTTGGACTCGTCCTTGGAAGATTCCAGAATTTGGAAAGGCTCTACAAATGGCCTCTTCTCTTGTTCCTCTTTCATGTTCTTGCTTCTCCTAGCATCCTGGGTGGGGATTTCCCTATAAAAGAAATTTGGAGTAAGCCTATCCCCCCAAAAATTCAAGCCTTCTGTTGGGAAATTTTCCTTGGCAAGGTTAATATGTGTGATATGCTGCAGAAAAGAAGGCCTTTTGCTTGCCTTTCTCCTCACATGTGCTCCCATTGTAAGGAAAATGACGAGACCTTGACACATCTATTTTTATCTTGTTCTTTTGTGCATCATGTTTGGGATTCTTTTTGTGTTCTTTTTGGCTGCAGGTAGGTTTTCCCTCAAGATGTGGCAGGTCTTTTTAACCGAGACTTTTTGAGGCAATCAAAGAAAAGAGGGAAGGTTATGTGGAAAGCTACAAAGGCAGCTATTTGTTGGGTGATATGGGAAGAAAGGAATAACAGAATATTCTCAGAAAAGAGTAGAACCATACAGGAGGTAATTGACACAATCAAAGTTAAAGTAGCCCATTGGGTAAGTTCTTTGCATATTTTCCAAGAGTTCTCAGTCATAGACATTATAAGATCTTGGCAAAAGTAGCAGTCTTCAAGAGTGAAAGAGAGAGTAAGGACGGAATGGAAACCTCCAGATGGTAACAGAATTAAACTGAATTTTGATGGAAGTTCATTTGGAAATCCGGGATTGTCAGGTATCGGGGGAGTAATCAGAAATTCTGAAAGGAGAATATTAGCATTATTCTCTGGACCTATTGGCATGGGCAACTCTCTAAAAGCTGAGGTAATGGCATTGCTACAAGTATTGAAGATGGCCAAGCAACTAGGGTTGAGGCATATTAAGGTTGAAGGGGATTCCAAGGTGATCATTTCTTGGGCTAACAACAATAGAACTACTCCGTGGACTTTCAAACAAGTGATAAGGGAAGTGAAAAAGGTTGCGGGGGGGGGGGGGTAGAGGCAGAATTCAAATGGGTTAGAAGGAGTGAAAATGGGCTAGTTGATTATCTTGCTAAACAAGGGGCTTTGAGGCAACAATTGTTTTGGGTTGCATTGTAAAAGGGACAGAAATATGTAATAGTGTGGGACTTCTAGTCCTATACACAAAGTTGTAAAACTTTTAAATCCAATTTCACATAAAAGTCTCCTCTGATGATCAAAAAAAAAAATGGAGTTGTTCTCTAACAAACACCCACATAT